GAAGCTTAATGGTTTCAATGTTTCTTAACTCCTAGAGGCACATTTCTTTAGAGGTTACATTTATAACATTTCATAAAACAACTCTGTTTAGTGGGAGGACTGTTCCTTCCACTAAACAGGTTTAAACTTATTTTTCTTCAAACTGAGTTTTTTTCATTAGGTTATTTCTGTTGCAATAAAGATGCTTTCTGGGGTTCTCTCCCCCTTTTTGCTCATACACTAACTACTAATCTAAATAGGTCAACTTGACCTATCTAAACCACACAGGTAAAAGCCTAAACCTTCCTGGTTCTCAACACAGTAGAACCAGCCTTTCACTGTAGTTCTCCAACTACAGACTGCTTCCCTGATTCTCAGCACTGTAGAACCAACTTTTCCTGCAGTTCTCAGACTACAGACTGGCCGTTTTAAAATGCCTGCCCTGCCAAGTGGCAGTTGGCTCCACCCTTTTCCATGGCAACCCAGCTCAGAGTGAGCTGAGCTGGCTACCATCCCGCCAGTTAAGCTATTTTTAATACTTACCCTTTTAAACACCTATCTATAATTATACATAACTGTAGGTTAAAATTCACATTTCATCACAAAAGGTGACAAAGTAACACAATTAAAACATATAACAGTAAAATATATTAAATTTTAAAAAAACAATAAAATGTAAAACATCATAAAACCCACCTTGTAAACAGCACAACCCCCCACAGGTGAGAAAGGTGGTATATAAATACTGTAAGTAAGTAAGTAAGTAAGTAAGTAAGTAAGTAAGTAAGTAAATATTAAATAAATAAATAACATGGGCATTTCCATGTTGTCAAAATATGGAGATGTGCCCAGCATAAGCCAATAATAGACAACCAGTAGCCAAGAGAAGTGGGCATGTGCAGATTTGAGACTAATAGGGGCAGGACAACGGCTTGTGCAAACACAAACTGTAGGGCTGGAGCTGGGAATACTAGAGATCCAACCAGAAGATTAGGGCTAGGCAGACTTAACCAGTTGGCAAACCATTATTCAAAGGCATATTAGAACATCCAAGTCTTCAAGTCTTTCTGGAAGGTGGACAGGGTGGGGGCTAATCTAATCTCCGTGGGGGAGAGTTCCAGAGTTGAGGGGCCACCACCAAGAAGGCCCTCTCTCTCAGTGTTTAAAAGGCAGCATTTGAAACTGAAGTAAAAACAATATTAATGCTATGGGCATTATTTCCAGTAGTAGGGTTGTTTATCTACTGCTGTAGGTGATATGGTTCACATATGCGACTAATTAGCCAGTTTTCGTGACTTTTCCCCATGGCAGTACAAATTAGTCAGTTTTCGTAACCTTTTCCTATAGCAGCACAAAAGCCTTATGGAAATTATAATTGCTTTCCTTCATAAAGGAGTCCAGCACGAAATGCAATTATTTGCTTTGGAGATATCCAGCTATCATGAAGGAATGTGAAGGTAAATATGCATAAACTATTTTGAAAAAGTAACATTGCAAGCTCTGATCCGGCACACAAGGGGAAGATACTTAGGTCGTCAAAAATATACAAACTCCAGGTTCCAAATTAGAAAGATTTATTGCAAAAAGGGTAAAGCAAATAAAGCAGAAATGCCAAATGGGAGAAGCAAGACATCTTGCTTCCTAAATAACATGTAGTTAACAGGGTTAAAAAAATTATTTCTGTACAACTACTGGGGTTTCCTGCATATTATATTATATCACATATTAAGACTTTTATCAACACATCACATATATTATTTCCATGTAGGAGAGATGTAGAAAGCAACAAACTAAAAACAGCTAGGCACATATTGAGGTAAGGATGTGTTTGAATGACTTTTTAATAGGTTGAAACACTTCAGGCATTTTCAAACAATTTCCATAGCATCTTGAAATGTGATCCTTTTGTATATTTGCTTCAGCTAATAATTAGATATTTTTGCCTGATATATAGTTTGAAAACATAAAATAAAAACCAAGCTGCTTGCTCAACACTGATATTATGAAACACATCACCACGTTTCAATGGCCATAATAAAAGATGTTTTAGAAACCACTTTGATAACCTTTCTGAATCTTGCCTCAGGTGTATTTTCCGATTTATACAGAGAAGGAAGTGCTATGTTAAATGATCTGTTTTTAGAATGATTATATGCAAAGAAGGGGTTCATTATGGCTTCCAACATCTTCCAGTTATTACACTCATTTGTGTTAATAGAATTTTTTGCTTGCCAAGGGAAAGTAACCTAGAAAGGCAAAAGGATTATGCTTTTTAAATATAATTGGAAGATATTCTTTTGCACTAATCATTGCATTACCATTATTAGAAAACTCAACCTACTCAAGACTTCTTTCGTTAAAGGCAAATGTTCTCTAATAAGGCGGCAAAAAATTGAGTAGTCCCCGTTTCTGGTGGTTTCAATGCTAGGCAAGGGAAAATCCACTCTCAAGTTTTTGACTAGCTGCTGTGAATATTTCATTTGTGTGATGCCAAAATCAATTTATCAGTAAACAATGGAGACAGGTTAAGCATAGTAATTAGAATATTATCCCAAAGACCCATATATATGTAAATAATTAATAGATTCTGAATTATCAGTGATAATACCATTTGGCAAACAGTCCAAGTAAAATACTGAATTTGACAGACATAGCCTATAGCAATCAATAAAATAATAACAAAGGACACCCAAGTGATTAATTTATTTTATGAGCAATGGTAAAAAAAAAATCAGATGTAGAAATAGACAAGCAAAGGACACCATCATGCAAAACCGCCTGGTATTCTTATTTTTCACATCCAGACCTGGAGATTTCTGTATTTTGCCTGAGTGCACATGTCAAAAATGCATAGCATAGATCAAATGCCAGAGGAAAAAGACCTACTGATACGATAAAAGATATATAGTGAAAAGAGATATTTAGGAAGTGCCCCTTTCTAATCACTAGACAAAAAGAGGACCCAAACGTATTTCAAAAATTCCAATAGTAGACCAAATTCTTTTTCTATTATAAATATAAACTTCAAATTAAAGACGAGAAATCAGAAGGCTAGGTAGTTATCCGCCTACAGTCTTCTTTACTAAGAGCACAGGAAATGGAGAGTACTTTTATTTAAATTATTTCTAGATCTGCGTATAAGTATAGTTCACACAAACAATGTCCTGTCTTCCTCTTTGGTCATAAATGTCCTAATTTTTTATACTAAGTGGTCACTCTGTATTCAACATGTGGTAGGAAAGTAACATACATTGATTGTGAGTTTGTATGAGTTTGGACTTTCTCATGAACATCCAGTAGAGCAGAACTTCCTCTTCTAATTCAGTCCAAAACCCTCCTGAAAAATACATGGCTGACAGGAGTTGGCAGTGTCCATGCAAGGATAATATCCATGCCATCAATTTTTGGCAGCTACTGAAGAAAATAGGACATGGGGAAAATCATGTTTATTATGGATCTCTGGAAAAGATAAGGATCTAGGTTCTAGATCTAATTTTCATCTCAGTAGGATTTCTTGGACATATCTTTCTCCCACCCTCTGGATGGAGAGGGGATATTGATAATAATCTTGCTCCTGTTGCTAACATGAAAATGGTAAAACAACCGTATCCTGTCTAAAAATTAAACAAAAGTTATCAACTTAAAACAAAAATGGAAGTATTTCTGTAATTTGCTTAACAACAGCATGGGTAGTACATGTGAGAAGGATCTAGAGCAGTGGTTCTCAACCTGGGGTCCCCAGATGTTTTGGCCTACAACTCCCAGAAATTCCAGCCAGTTGTTAGGCTTTCTGGGATTGAAGGCCAAAAACATCTGGGGACCCCAGGTTGAGAACCACTGATCTAGAGGTTTTAGGGACCACAAGCAAAATATGAGTCAACCATATGATGCAGAAGCAGAAAAAGACAATACACCAACCGAAGTGTAGTATCCAGATTGAAGGATATAACAGTCTTACTCTAAGTTTTTGTTAGACCTCATCTGGAATACTGGGCAGTTCTGGGCACTACAGTTCACAAAGGATATTGATAAGCTTGAACTTGTCCAAAGTAGGGGGATAAAGAAGGTAAGAGTTCTAGAAATCAAGCTCCATGAGGTAAGGACATAGATATGTACAGCTCAAGGAAGAGAAGATTAAAAGGTGATATGATAGCCACATTTCAATATCTGAAGGGTTACAATGTAGAAGACAGAACCAGTTGAAGACAGTTCTGGCTCAACTTACCTGTCTGAACGCATCTCCTCCTATGAACCAGCTGGGACATTAAGATTGCCTGGGGAGGCCCTGTTTTCGATCCCGCCTGCATCATAAAAACATTTGGTGAGGACGAGAGACAGGGCCTTTTCAGTGGTGGCCCCTTGGCTATGGAACGCTCTTCCTACAGATATTAGATCAGCCCCTTCCCTGTTAGCATTTGGAGGAAAGTGAAGACCTGGTTGTTTGAGCAGGCGTTTGAAAAGGCAGTGTAACTAACATAGGAATATAGAACAATTGGATGATAATATTGGATCTTGATTTTAATGAAGAGACGGTAATGAGATGTTTTATTGATTTTGTAATTATTGTTTATTATGCTATTGTTTTAACTGTTTTAACTGTTCTATGATGTTTTGAGCATTGAATTTTGCTACTGTAAACCACTTTGAGTTACCCGAGAGCTGAGAAAAGCGGTATATAAATATAGTAAATAAATAAATAAAATAAACTTGGGTTTTGCTGCTTTAAACCCTAGAACACGAATCAATCGATTCCAATTATAGGAAGAGATTGTGCCTAAGTATAAGGTAGAACATTTTTATTGTAAGCTCTGTTCAACAGTGGAATAGATTGCCATGGAGGCTAGTAGGCTTTCTTTGGAGGTTGGATAGACATTTTCAGGAATGGTTTGGATGTATATTCCTATGTGGCAAGGAGTTGGGCAAGATGGCCCTTGCTCTGCCCTGCAACTCTGATTCTATGGCAGCATGTGTTTTTCACAACTGAGCATTTCTATTTACCACTCTGCTTTCTTTTCCCGCAGACAGAACAACTTGTGACCCTTTGGATCCTTTTTGTTGTAACAGTTGTGGGGAACTCCATTGTTCTGCTCTCCACTTGGAAGAGGAAGAGGAAATCCAGGATGACCTTTTTTGTTACTCAACTAGCCATAACAGGTAAGGTTATGTCAGAAACAAGAAAGGCCAGCTCACTTCTTTTCACTCGTCAACAAATGTACAAGAACTCAACTAAATTGAAGCTGAAGTATGCCTCTTAAACATTCAATCGTTAGCAAAAAAAATGACTGGCAGACACCGGCTGCTGGTGGCCTTAGGAGTTAATCACATGAGGCAGGCAAATTGCAATTACAGGACAATAGTCTTTTTGCCTTGGACTAATCACATGATACCGCTCCTTTCCTGCTTCTCTTTTAATGGATAACAGCCTGAAAAGCATTTCCTTTACAAACACAAGTAGTCTGTTAATGGTTTCCTTTTGTGATAGAAAAAGTCTCCCCCTGGGAAAGTGGTAGAAAAAGAGTGCTGTCATGTGATACACCCAACTCTGTTGTCTTACTGTAATTGCAATTTGCTGCCTCGTGATAAACTCCTCCAGTGGCAGAATAAGGTGCTCCTTCCGCTTGTGTTGTTAGTGATATTGCTAGCCACAGCTTTGATGTATTTTTTGCCTTTGTCACCTTTGCTGTCACATATAAGAGCATTTTCTGTGCCCTGAGGTTCTCCTCCTTTTTGGTTGCTACCCAGCCTCTTTCTGTTCTCTTCTTCCCACTTCACCTGGAGCCACTGAATCATACTGAATCTAAGCATTTTCCGGTTTCTGATAGCTGTGCATTGTTTCCACTGTGCTTTTAATCCCTGTGGGACAAATGAATATAAAAACAAGTCTCTGTATGATTGTGCAACAAGAGCTCGGATGTTTATTGGTCTACAAACATGGAATTATGAAATTATGAATTATGTGAGGATTTTATCTTTGTGGTTGCTGCTGTTTTTAAATTGTCTGTTGCCACTGTTATCATTTGCTATTTGTCAGCCTTTAGTCCATTCCCTGTTTCTTATAGCACGTCTCTTGATTGTACATCAAATGTGATTGCACCCACATCACTGCAGGACTAACCATTTTGTGATTTGGTGTCTCTATTCAGAAAGAGATATGACTAGTGACAAAAATGTTCTTCACACAAAGAGCAATTTTTGTGGGCTCCAGAGCAAGAAAGTGTAGTGGCAAAACTAAGTACTCAGCAAGAGGGTTATCTTAATCATATTTGTGATCTTATTAAATTGTTTCTGGTGTTTTCCCAGCTGCTTATAGAAAGAACAGATCAAGGCATGTGAGGTGCAACTTGGTGGGATCTTTAAATTTATTTATTTATTTTATTTTATTTATATACCGTTTTTCTCAGCCCTCAGGCGACTCAAAGCGGTGAACAACATCAATACAAAACATCACGAGACAAGTATAGGGCAATTAAAAACAATTGTAACATAAATCATTAACAGCACTGAGTTGTGAAGAGTTGCCCATCTTTTCAAGTTACTGCTACCATTATCATTGCAGATACACACTGCATTCTGAGTGTAGTTCAGACTATTGGGTTTGCAATAGCACATCTCAGGCAAATGAGTGAAAGGGGGCAGGAGACAGTTCCATCTTGTCTCCTGGATATGTCATCAGTTGGGGGCCCTTCCTACAGCACCAACTGCCACTCTGGGCCAGAGTGAAGAGAGGGAGGGCCAGGGGACAGTTCCATCTTGTCTCCTGCATATGTCATCAGTTGGGGACCCCTCCCCCCATCACCAATTGCCGCTCTGGGTCAGAGTGAAGGAGGGTCAGGGGACAGTCCCATCTTGTCTCCTGCATCAGCGGGGGAAACCCACCCCCCGGTACCAACCGCCACTCTGGGCCAGAGTGAAGAGAGGGAGGGCCAGGGGACAGTCTCATCTTGTCTCCTGTGCTATGCTAATAATATAATGTAATTTAATGTAATGTAATATATTGTATATATGTATAATATTTATATTATAATGTAATGCAATATAATATTAATAATAATAATATAATATTATAATTATATTTTGATATACATGTAATATTACTAATAATATTACAATATAAATGGTATAGTACAATATAGCAATATTTAATACTGATATTAAGTAGTGACTTGAAGTGACTGGATTGACCTTGAAGGAGCTGGGGGAGATGACGGCCGACAGGGAGCTGTGGTGTTGGCTGGTCCATGAGGTCATGAAGAGTCAGAAACGACTGAACAAATGAACAACAAATTGTACTATGCTAATAATATAATATATTGAATGTATAAATATCTTGTGAGCCGCTCTGAGTCCCCTTCAGGGTGAGAAGGGCGGCATATAGACGCCGTAAATAATAAATAAATAAATAAATAAATAAATGCAATCTAAGGTATTTGTGCAAATAAAGCATCAAATAAGAAAATGGTCTGTAGCCAGGTATGTAGAAGAAGGTGTATCACTAGATTAATCAACATAAGCCTGAAAAATACTTTCATCCTGCTCATATGGAGGTTAAAAACCTGTGGAGAGATCAAGGACCTACATACAAGTGGTCCTGTATGCCTGGTTTCTCTACAGATCTGGTTTGCATTGAATGTGAAGCTTTAAAAGGTGGTTGTAAGTAGGTAGGACTTATAAATGTGTTTGTAATCAGAATACAATTTTGATGAGCCAGAGTTATTAATCTTATGACTATAAGCATGTTAGAGGACCATATCACATTAGGTTATACTCAGTTTCTGAGACTTTTTGAAGATGATTCCAAAAGGGACCTATCAGATTACGTTTGCCCCATTCTGTCAGCAATCCATTGGAATCCGTCCTTTCTTAAACCTGTTCGAACAGCTCAGAGAGGGATTCCTTTTTTATGGCTGCATCAGCCATTTCTGCTACTTGCATTACATTTAGATCCAGTCTGTGAATTTAATTTACTTACATCTCCAACAAGTAGAAGAAAGTCCAAATGGGAGATTAATAATTATCCAGCGGACAGGAGTGCAGATGGTGTTGCTTTGTTGTGAGTTTCACAAGCAACCACACTGAGGTTGGAGCTACACTGCCATATAATGCAGTTTGAACTGCATTATATGGTCAAAGAAAACCTATATAATGCAGGACAGTGAGGTTTGAACTGCATTATATGGCATTACATTGGCTATATAATGAAGTCTGAACTGCATTATATGGCAGTGTAGATCCAGCTTGGGACAGATCTCTTTTCTTGCCCCCTAAATAGCCCATGCTCATGAGACAGATGCCAGAACCTCACTACCTCTGAGGATGCTTGCCATAGATGCAGGCAAAATGTCAGGAGAGAATGCCTCTTGAACATGGCCATATAGCCCGAAAAAACCTACAACCCAGAACAAATGCCTTGACAAAGCATCAAAGGAAGAAACTGGGCCCAGTGAAATCCTCCACCTCACTCCATACCAGAGCCAAGGAATCACAGGACTGGTGATTTTCCTTCAAGAGCTCACCAAGACATTAGCCGTTACCATCTTGCCCAGTTCTTTGGTATATGAACCTTTAAATTATTTTTATTTTAATGTGCATAGTTTACACAATTTTTCATTGACAATGTGTCTTTGTATACATTTCCAAATATGCACCTTTTTATATATTTTATATATTTTATATATTTTATATATTTTATATATTTTATATATTTTATATATTTTATATATTTTATATATTTTATATATTTCTAGGCGCTTGGTGGGGACACGGGACAGGGCCTTTTCTGTGGTGGCCCCCCCGACTCTGGAACGCCCTCCCGAAAAATCTCAGACAAGCCCCTGCATTGGCAGTCTTCAGAAAGGAATTGAAAACCTGGCTGTTCCGATGTGCCTTTTCAGATTAGGAACCCCAGCACCAAATCCTAGAAGCACCTTAGTAGAACCAAGATCACTGCACACTGCACATCGCACTTATATTTAATCCTACATCCCTCCTGCCACACCAGCACTTTTAACCCAATACCCCTACTCCGGCCGGCCCAGTTTTAATAGTGTCTTGTTGTATTGTTACTGTTATTGTTTTTCTGCTTAACTGTTTTTAATTTGCTTTAGGTATTGTATTGTTGTATTGTGTTTGGGGCTTCGGCCTGTGTAAGCCGCATCGAATCCTTCGGGAGATGCTAGCGGGGTACAAATAAAGTATAATAATAATAATAATAATAATAATAATAATAATAATAATAATAATAATAATAATAATAATAATATATGACCAACTGTAATTCAAAGGGACAGAGAATAACAACTAATTAAATTTGTTTCTTCTCAGTTGTAGAAATCAAAAAATACACATCCTCTTTCATTAACAAACTGATGGGCTATAAATTGGATCAATTCACTTAAACGGGGAGCCCCCGGTGGTGCAGTGGGTTAAACCCCTGTGCCGGCAAGACTGAAGACCGACAGGTCGCAGGTTCAAATCCGGGGAGAGGCGGATGAGCTCCCTCTATCAGCTCCAGCTCCTCATGCGGGGACATGAGAGAAGCCTCCCACAAGGATGATAAAAACATCAAATCATCCAGGCATCCCCTGGGCAACGTCCTTGCAGACAGGCCAATTCTCTCACAACAGAAGCGACTTGCAGTTTCTCAAGTCGCTCCTGACATGACAAAAAAACAAAAACTTAAAAACGGAAAAATATCCTATTTTTTTTCTTTTTCATCCATCACCACTACATACTGGTATGATCATGTGGTGGTGTTGAATAGACACATGTTAACAGCAAACCTGCAGTTCTCCACAGAGAGTCTACTTATTCCAAGCAGCAAAAGAAAATAAGGGTTCGTAAAAAAACCCTATTAATAATAGTTCTGCATCGGTACTAATAATTTGACATGAGTCAAACTTACCATAATAAAGGGGTGTTTACATTAGTCTAGCATGCCATTATTTCTATGCATCAACAGTTCTTTGTTTGACAAAACTTATGTCTGTAAGGAGATGAAGCAATGCTGTGCTTGTTTATTCTCAAGAGTATTTTATTTTACCTGATAAGGATCAAAGCCACGTCAGTGTGCAAATGAGAGGATGGGAGGCAACAATCACTCCTGAGCCTTTGTAGTCTAGGATTAAGATGCAAAAAGATGTAGGAGTTAATGTCTG